GGCAGCCAATAACCTGATAGTGCTGTCTCGGGAAGATGCAGGAGCAGAGAGGATCTTCCAGAATAATGGCATCCCGCTGCTGCTCAACATGATTGAGACCGGAAAACCTGAGATGATCCTGGCGGCTGTCCGCACACTGTCAGGAATGTGCACAGGACACAAGGCCAGGGTGAGTACATGCGTGTGCTTAAAATCAAAACAACAAAACAAATCAAACAAAACAAGAAAGCTCAGGGTTAACTTACTTTGTTTATGTCCTCAACAGGCTATGGCAGTTGTTCACATGGTTGGTGTTGAGAAGTTGTGCAGCATCATGGCAGTGGACAATGAGGAGATCGCACTGGCTACTTGTAATTTATTCCAGTGTGTCTATGACTCCCTGACTGGAGCAGACAAACGGGAGTATGGGAAAGAAGAAGCTCTGGTTTTAGGTAAATATAGTATATATTAAAAAATGAATGGAGCTTAAAAAAATAAAAGTCTCCACTTTATGAACAAAGCTTAAATTAATATTTTTGTGTCACATTTTAGATGCATCAAAGCTGTTGAAGACTATTTTGATGTCCTTGTTGGAAATGGTTGCCAGCAGTAAGGTGTCTGGTCATGGAAGAGATCAGGCGCTGAATCTCTTGAGTAAAAATGTCCCTCGTACAAACAAGAAGGACCCAGACCACAGCAGATCACTGTTCACTATTGACCATGGTGAGTTATACTGTAATAAGAAATCTTTATTAAAATGACTTTGTCTGTGCTTCATGCGACACTAAATATTTTTCAGGTTTGAAAAAGATCCTCAAAGTGTGTGGTCAAATCCCAGATCTCCCAAACCAGCTGCCCCTGACAGAAAACACACAGCTTATTGCCAGTGTGCTTTTGAACAAACTCTATGATGACCTCAAATGTGACCCAGAACGGCAGAACTACAAGGATATCTGTGATGATTATATCAAGTAAGTTTACTGTAAAATAATTTATTTCACCAACTCAATCCAGGTGAGAAAGACAAAAAAATTCAGAACTGTTGACATAGCAGTTCATAATTTAAAACAAAATATGATATCTTTTGAATGGGGATTTTTTATTTTTATTTTTTTATTTTGAATGGGGAAAATGTTGCATATAACAGAAAGCTGAAAGAGTTATAATATATTTACTGAATCACTTATAATATATTTATTAGATTTATCATGTGTTTCATAGATCTAAAATTGACCCCAATGACATGGACAAAACCATCCATGCGATCAACGTGATCTCAGGCTTGCTGCAGGGTCCCTTTGACGTGGGTAATGCTTTGGTGGGACGGCAGGGTATTATGGAGATGATGGTCGCTCTGTGTGGGTCTGACCGTGAGGTGGACCAGATGGTCGCTGTGGAGGCTCTCATTCATGCCTCTTCAAAGATGAGCCGCGCAGGCTTCATCATCACCAATGGAGTGTCCCTGCTCAAAGACATCTACAAGAAAACCAAAAATGAGAAGATTAAGATCCGTGCACTTGTGGTAAGAGGATAGACAGTAACAAGCTAGATTCATGCATGTTAACCTCATCTTGAGCTGTCAAGATTTTTAAAGATTGAAGAACTATGCTTTTAGATAACTCTAAAAGATAAACTCTAAAAAAGTAATTTTTCATAAACGTACATACTCATGTGTTTTATTTGTTAATCTAGGGTCTCTGTAAACTGGGATCAGCGGGCGGTGACGATTACGCCCTGAGGCAGTTTGCTGAAGGCTCTACTGAGAAGTTGGCTAAGCAGTGTAGAAAGTAAGGAACCCTTAGTGACAATACAAAATCTCTCGTTGAATTTAATGTAAACAACATTAACTCAATGTTTTCTATTGTCCTACAGGTGGCTGTGTAATCCCCAGATTGACACCAAAACAAGAAAGTGGGCTATTGAGGGTCTTGCTTATCTGACTAATGATGCAGATGTGAAGGATGACTTTGTTGAGGATGAACTTGCACTGAAAGCCATGTTTGAACTGGCCAAGGTATAGAGACACAGGATACTGCTGATTTGTACACACTTCAGTGTCAATACGAATATACTAATCTTTTTTTCTTGTTTCTTGTTTCTCGGTTCAGTCAAAGGATAAAACTATCTTGTATTCAGTTGCTGCCACTTTGGTTAATTGCACAAACTGCTATGATAAGAAAGAAATCCTCCCTGAGCTGGTCCAACTTGCTAAGTTCTCAAAGCAACACGTACCAGAGCAGCACCCGAAAGACAAAAAGGATTTTGTGATGAAGAGAGTGAAGAGGTTGCTGAAGGCTGGGGTCATATCCGCCCTTGCTGTCATGGTGAAAGCAGACAATTCCATTCTTACTGATCAGACCAAAGAGATGATGGCAAGGCAAGCAAACTCACATAGAAAAAAATGTTGACAATATATCATCATATTTTTATTGTATTTGAAAATTTACCATTATGTTTCTGATTGTAGAGTTTTCTTGGCTCTATCAGAGGACCCTAAAGACCGTGGTACCATTGTTGCCCACGGTGGAGGAAAGGTGATTTAACATATTGTAAACTTTATATATGGTGAAAATCTTAGAATTTAGCTATATTTATCTGTATTATGCCTTAATTGCAACCTAAATGTAGAATCCAAAATTATGCAATTGTGACGGCCTATATTAATACAATATTGTTTCTTGCCATTCAGGCTTTAATCCCTCTGGCTTTGGAAGGAACAGATACTGGAAAAGTGAGGGCCTCTCATGCTATTGCCAAAATTGCTGCCATTTCAAACCCAGAAATTGCATTCCCTGGAGAAAGAGTATGAAGACTAATCTAATCAAAAGTTATATTTTTGTAATATTCACAAACATATGCCTTTAATGCAGTTTCCCCTTCTACCTTTTGTGACAGGTGTATGAAGTTGTTCGTCCCTTAGTCAGCCTGTTGAGCACTGATAAAGAAGGAGTGCAGAACTTTGAAGCTCTCAGAGGTCTCACCAACTTGGCTGGTTTCAGTGAGAAGCTAAGGTAACATATTTTAAATTTTATATATTATTAAGAATATCCCTTCAACTTATAAACTTATCTTCTTGAGAGGGTCTAAACATGTCCCACAACATTATTACAGCAAGGTGGAAACTTACGCATATTTTCTTTTTGCAGAGTAAAGATTGTGAAGGAAAAAGCCCTGCCAGAAATTGAGAACTACATGTTTGAGGAGAATGAGAAGATCAGACAAGCTGCCACTGAGTGCATGTGCAACCTTGTGACATGCAAAGAGGTATAGATATAATGTTCAAAATAATTTCCCACCAAATGTAAAATTTAATCTTTACTGACTGTATCTTTATTCACTACTGTAGGTTCAGGATCGTTATTTGGAGGATGGTAATGACAAGCTGAAGCTGTTGGTGCTGCTGTGTGGTGAGGATGATGAGAAACTCCAAATCGCTGCAGCAGGTGCTCTGGCCATGCTCACGGCGGCACAGAAGAAACTCTGCAAGAAAATAACAGTTGTGGTGAGTGCACAGGTTTATTCTGATCAGCCATCATTTTGAAGAAGAGTGAAGAAGAAACATACTTGTATGAGAATGAGCCCAAGACAGGTGAAGAGTAGGGGTGTGCGATATTTATTTATTATTTATTTAATTATTCTGATAATGATACTCAAATCATATTTTTGCAATCCATCAGAAATGTGCTTAAACTTTCAAATGTTTTGGTTAAGGCTCAATTGCAAAATTACCCTTGAAAATTTGAGTTTCATGTATTTTAACCATTTAAGACAAAACATTTTAACTTTGCATATCTTCAGAACAGAATTATATTATCCATACTATGATATATTGCCCTCTAATCAGTCATATTTTATGTTCCCTTTGGAGATTAGTATCCAGGGTACTATTTTCTTTCAGTAAACCAACAAATTATACAATTAAATAAATACATAAAATTTGTGGCATTTATGGATTCATTTGGCATATTAAATTCAAACAGAGCTCTTCTTGTTTTGTAAAATTAGTACTGATGTGAATGTCTCACCTACAGACTGCCCAGTGGATGGAGATCCTACAGCGTCTTTGCCTCCACCCAAACCCGTTCATCCAGCACCGTGGCATCGTCACCGTATACAACATGCTCAACTCAGACGACATAGAGCTGAGCAAGAAGCTGATCGAGAGCGAGCTTCTGGAGATCCTGTCTGTGATCGGAAAAGCTGCGGACAATCCCAAGCGCCAGGATCCCATAAACGCAGCACGAGAATGCCTGATCAAGGCTATGGACCTGGGCCTCATTAAACCATTCACCAATGCCTCCTAAGATGTTCACTACTATTCAGTCTCCTAGCATCAATCTGATTGAGACATTTTAAAGTTAGTTTTTTTTATATATATAATGAAGATATTTATTGACCTGCATTCTCTCAAGAGCATGCAATGTTTGTAATACTTAAACAAACTTCTTTTGTAGAAAGATATAATGATGTATGTTTGAAAGTAAAATTGTGAGTCATTTTTTGAAGACTCATTTTCGTATTGTATTTACTTGCTATACTTTTGATTAATAAAATTGTAATTAATTGATATTTTATTTGTTTTTGTGTTCCAATTTAACATTTTGAATATATACTTACTGTTCTTCCTTTTGGATTAACCTGCCCTGTGCTTGGCTGTAAAGCATTTCTATTTCTGTATTAATATTTACAATACTAATATTTATGTAGTTTTTTATGCTTATAAATCCCAGATGTATGAAGGTATAATGAGCATAAAGATTACTGTGTTCATCATTTTGAGAATTTGTCAATTAAGCTTGACAAAATGTATAGGCAGAACACAGCTACACTTCCACTATAGTGGGATATTTAGTAGTAGTTTATTTCTGATTTTATAAACAAAATGAGGGCAGATTTTTTTGTTTTTGTTTTGTTTGTTTTACATCACCTTGGTCCCATAGGCCCACATCTTGCAGGACTTTTTACGCAGTCCTGCAGGGGGCATGTTGGAGTTATTTATTCTGTTTCTATCCTCATTACAGTCGAGCAGAGAAATGGCTCTACGTAAGGACGCAGGGCTGGGGCAGAGCACGGGGCTTCTCTGCCCGCTGTGGGGCTCTCTTCAGTGATATTCAGCGGCCGGTGGTGAGAGCGCGGCGAACTGCGTATATCCACTGAACTGCGTTTGCCAGTGGTGGTGTGGGAAACGACGCAGCAGCGACGTAAGATTTCTTCAAAGACTGCAGCACAACGTGACTTCTACAGAGGCATACAGCTGTGAGTTTTTCTTTTTCACACGACATTTTTGGCCTTTAAAATATTGCATCTGATAACTTCAGTGACACATACGTGTTATGGATCACTTCCTGCGCGCGAGGGACAGGTGAAAACGGCAGGTGTTGTTTTCTCAGCAACTATAGCTAACAGTAGTGGGATGATGGATATAATATTTTAAAAACATGGATCAGGCCTAAAACAATATTTCTTAACTAACAGGCCATTTTGCATTTTTGTTTGCTTACAAATGAGGAAGTTGTATATGTTAAAAGATGTGGAAAGCTGATTAGTTAAGCGTATACTTAGATAGATTAAGAAACTGTCTGTCTTGCGCAGGGAAAGACACTGTTATGAACTTTGGCTCTTCAGAGGTGTGTTAATAAATGTTGAATTATGTTTTTGTTGGAGTGAGAAGTGTGGGGGAGATCTACCCACGTAAAGTGTGACTCTGCTGTAATCACTGAGGATACAGTGTCCCTTGGCCTCAAGATTGTCCCCATTATCACCGCACTTTGCAGTCAAGTGCCACATTTCTCTTCTTGCTACCACTGGCAGCCAGGCTCTATGTGTCCCCTCTGTATAGAATTGGGCTGATAAATAAGATACAGTACAAAGCAATAGCCTATTTGTTATGAAAAAAGTTGTATTAATGTACAAATTTCATCCCAAGTTGGCTACAAATTGAAAACATTTTGAAACTGGAATATTTTGGAAAATTCATTTCTGGAGTTGCATCAAAATGTGTCAATTTGTCTTTTTTTTTAAACAATTTATATTTTTAGGCAATTGATATTTTACTTTATAATTTATTACACATTACTGTATCTTTCCAGTTTAAAAGATAAGATAAGATTTTTTTTTGTTTATTCATCCTCTGTGGAAAGAGGAGTCAAGTTCATTGTCATGACTCATATCATGACATCATATTCATAGAGGCAAATGATGATGTCACAATAATAATTAAATGTGACCTTGCCTTTCTCCATATTATACACCAAAGTAATTTTCCAAAACTACACATGATTTTATGCCCATCTTTGAATGATTTTCATGGGTTGTTCACACAATCTATCTGTTAAACAAAATGGCTACTTATACAAATGGAGCCAGTCAGATCAGGTGATAGTTGGAGATGGGCTTTGCTTGTCATGCTCTGAACACTTAGGTTCTAATTTGACTGAGAGGTAGTGATTGTGGCTGAAGGAGTTTGAAAGGGAAAACGACTCATGCAAACTCAGTGTAACAGCATCCTGGCCTCTGCAGTGCAGCCTCTGTCTGCTGCAGCTCCACTTAACGGCTCCTCGTCACTGTTGTGTTATGTAATATTTATGTTACCTGTAACTAAAATTGTATTCAAAATAAGACACAGGACTTCTTTAACCAGTTGCTTTTCTGAATACAAATAAGGAGAAATGTAGTATTATTTGGAGTTTTGTCTTTCCTCTTGGATATTCCTGTCTTGGGTCACCATGGGTGCCACAGTGTTTGCATATTGGACATAAATTTTATGCCACATTTCTTTTCTGATGCTTGTCCATGTTTCCAGGCTTGGAAATGAAAGCACTTTTTCAGTGTGCAGTGTTTTAAGAATTTCTAATAATTTTCATTAGTCAGAGCATGCAGAGATTCATTGAAAATAGGACCTATACTACCTCTATATTACCATCTTCATTTACTGAGTTTAGGACCAGTGTAGCCCACGTAGGTACAGTATACTGACTTTAGATTCCTGTTTTAATTTAAACGTTCTAAACGTAAAAGATGTATTTCTGTAGTAACCTTTGGCTTTCACAACAGTGCTAGAAAAACAGTGTGTGAGTGGATCCTGTCTTGAATAATTCCAAAACAACATGCACATGAGGCTCATTTAGACAGTTACATAAGTCATTGCCTCCAACAGGAGTTCTCAGCCCTCTCTCATTCCTGATAATGGCCAAACAGACAATGTGCCCTCTGTCCACACGCAGGGGTGCGGCCTGGCAACGTGTCCAGTTACATTCAAGATGTTGTGATAAAAAATACTTCTCCCCACAGCGATAATGAGATCCAGCAGTGTAGTGCTGCTGTGGGCACAGATTCACTTTACCTCACCGTGCTCTGTCAGTGCTGTCAGTAGTAAAAGGCTTTGTCACAGCACTCGTGCTAACAGCCTTTTTATTTGTTTATCAAAGCATTTGCCCCCTTTACTTTGTATAGTGTGAGTGATGAAGTTAATAAGAGGATCGCAATGTATCTCAAGAAACATAAACGTTATCAGAACAATATGGTACAAAAGTTTTCTATAATATCTCATCTGAATTTGATGGCATCAACAATAACAGAGGTTTCTTTGACAGTTCATGTTAAATGACTGTAATGTTTCATTCATTTATTTCCCTCCATCTTTTGTAAATAACCTCTTTTTCAGTATTACTTTTTGTGAGTTATTTATTTTTTACAGCGCCCAAGTTTCATTTTTAAGCTTATTCCTAATGAAGTGAGTACTTTTGCTTGGTGAGTACTTGGTATAATCATTACACAGTAATACTGATTGTGTTGCTAAATAAGCTTTGCTTGTCTTGTTATGTCAATGGGTAGTGACCCACATTCTCCATTCACCATGTGTAGGCCTGTTTGGCCCTTGTCTTGATATTTTGTTCTTCTGTGAGGCACAGGCTGCACTACTCTGTATTTGTGCTATCATGGCGTTTATTGTACTCATTGAATGGGCAGACTGTCCCCATGTCAGCAGATATATTACTGCTGATAACCGCTGCATCTCACCGCAATCCTTATGAGCCGTGTCTTACACTGCTGCCTGGTACCATGCTTACTTCAGCACACTAAGCTTTGTTACACATTATTATTTCGTTTTGTGAAAAACACATTCAAATGCAGTATTGAGACTCAAGGTGTCTTATGTAACACTGTGTATTTTGTGGCTCCCATTTAAACCCTGTAATTTCCTGTTTGTATATGGTTAATGCTACCACAGCTGTAAACAAACTACAATCACATGACTGGTTCATTGACTCACAAAATTATCAGAGATCTTAATGACCTTCAGAGTTTCCTCAGCAGAGAAAGGACAAAAGGTGCCCAGAGGAACTGCTAAGTGGTCTGTGGAGCTCTTATTGGAACTGGTTGATGGACTCAGACAACAATACTAAACCAAAATAGAAGACATGAACAGTAGAACACATACTGTATGTGAGTATATTTTTTTTTACCCCAAGAGCCCTTGCAAACTTGTCATTTGTAGTAATTATTGCATTTGATTTTGTTATATCATATTTTATAGTTACTTGCATACATAGACATGAGTGGGTTTAGCAGAGCCTTCAAAGGGGGAGAGGGCTGATGTCTGCTAAGAACAGCTCACCTTATGTTAACTTGCCTTAAGAGGACCTTGGACCGCAGGGCTCGTTCTGCTGGATTTGGTCATGTGACTTTCCTGTCCAAGTGCTGTATCAAGGATTACTTCTACTCCTGGGAGAGTAGCTGCGTAGTAATTGTCAGCATTTGTGTCACAATCATAGACTAAATGGACATAGCTAAGCTGCGTGATTATGATACATGATTGTAGCATTTAATACAAAACCGGATTTCAATGAAACAGTTAAATTTATCTTTAAACTTAAACAGTTTAAAACAATCCACTTCCACAAGTGCTGTTATGGGCATAATATAGGTATAGTAAGGAGCAGAAACAGCAGTGAGACAACACTGGATTTTGACAACTGGGGCTTGTACTGTCAGTAACTCCAATGATTTGAAATGTAGAAGCAGTTATAATTACACAGCTAGAAATCTACACAATTAGAAGTCACAGACTGTATAAAAAAGTGGACTAAGAAAGTGTGACATTACCCATAGACCAACCAAATGAAGCTCACCGAGGCCAGAGTGTTCACATTTGGAGCCAGTTCCACATTTGGAATAGGAATTGATTCAAGGTCAAAATAGTGAAATAAAAACACCAGGATCATGCAGAGTGGGTTAATACGAACATTTTAAGACCAAAATGAGCAGACTGACAACAGCAGTTACGGAGAGAGGGGTGACGTTTTCTCAATACAAAGTAAATTAGAGCATGTTTAAAAGTCTACTCAGTTACAGTAATGTGAGTAGTTGTTTTCCATCCTTGACATGTTTTAAACAGTTTTTTCATAGTTATACCATAAAATGGGATAAAACCTTGTTGAACTTTCTTAGAACTCAGAGTGTTTTCCCTCCTCTCTCACTGGTCCATGGCCTCCTGTACCGCTCCAGTCCATCATGTGACGGCTGGACACAGAGGGTGACCTGTCCTCCACTTAATATGCAGCAGAGCAGACACACAAATCACAATCACTACTGTACACAACACGCTGCAGTCTCTATGGGGCCTTTGGTAAGAAATGCTTGTCTATTCTTGGACTTTAAATGACACATATCAAACTTTAATGAGTTTTTATTTAACTATATTATGATTGTTTTCCCTCACTGAGTTTAGTCAGTTGTATTACAACTGACATTTCATATTCTATATGGACTAATCGATTCATCGATAGTTTTCCCCCAGCTCAATCAATAATCTTAAATTTCAGCCCAAGGTCAGTTAGATTAGATCAAGGCTGAAAACTCACCTCTTCTCCCTGGCATTAGTGCTAGCTAATCAGGTTATGTTTTTATTGTAGTTTTCACATGTTATCTGTATATACATATATGCAACTGTTTCTTCTGTTTTGTTGACTTGTATGAGAAGCACTTTGGTCAGCTGAATTCGTTTTAAATCTGTTATATAAATAAACTTGAACTGAAATGAAAAACCAGTGCCATTGCACCCTTTAGTCAACTATTTGCTTCTCTGGGCTTGTCTTTAGTTGAGCACAAATTTCTTGTCTAGTACATAGACATATAGTGAAAACAGTTGTCACTTATATCTTACCAAATTCAATGTTAGACTTTCCCACGAGCGTTATAATGATGTTAGATGCTGCAGTCCCAGACCGCATAAAGATACATCTGTCTCACATAACATACATAACATAAGTGTTGTTTTTACATTGCCTCTGCTGGTGACTGTGGGAAGGATGTTTAGTCTGGTTTAGATGTAAAACTTTCACATTCAAACAGCAGGCAGCACTTTGAAGGTACAGCACAGTTTGTTCCTTAAAGCACCATTATCAAAACACTTCTATTATAAAGACCAGCACCATAAAAAAACATTTTATTATTAAGTTATTGTTCACAGGGAGAAAACTATGCACAGACTTTATTCTGCTGCTAGTTCACCACTTTATCCTCTTTGGACCACGTTTGATCCTGACCTTATTCCACTGCATTTACTTTTGCTATAAATTGCACTTTCTTTGTGGTGCCACTTCCAGTTAAGCGAGAATGCCATTTATTTCTATGGAAAATTTGGGAAAATTTTGGCTGCTAAAATATGATGTAAAGTTGATTGATTTGTTTAAAATGTTCAATGTTACATGCACCAACTAATTAATAATGCACAAGTTTTCTGGGAAGCTTTAAAATAACTTTGTAGTCCATATAAAACATATTTGCTGTGAAGATCAGCGACCCGATGCAAAATAATACAACCTGAATGACGATGGCGGTGGATAAGGTGAGGTGATAGTATAATTAATAGCAATATTTTCCTCATCTTTATCTATCTCCCTTTAATTGGTCTTAAAGCATTTAAAGATGTTTCCAGTATTGATTTCCTGAATTTCAACATAATTTCACATCATCATCATTTAATCATTGACATTATTGCCAAATTAAAGTCTGAACTCTGCACCACACCATGTGCTTTTAATGCTGACATCTTCATTAAAAAACACTCAAGCTGATCATTGATGAATAAAAATAACTGAGTCTATAAAATGTGATCAATTTCACGTCCGTACAACTGGAGAGGCTGAGTCAGACATGCTCCTTATATAGCCTTTGTCTTGTAGAACTTCTTCAGGCTACATAGTATGAGGATCATTGGTGAGCTATGACCACCAACGCTATACTGATGTATATGCTTTTTAAAATAGCATAAAAAAGATATTTCCTACCTATTAGACAGAATAGACCTAAAATGTGCTGAGACACAGAAGTGGTAACAGTTACATAAACCCCTATGATGCTGGGCAACACCTCCTGTTTTTACTTATATCACCTTCTGTCGCCTATCTCCTCTTTTTAGGGCTCTTGTAAAATATTAACAGCAGAAATAAAATAAGGGGCTTTTCTGACCATATGCACAGTTAGTAAGATGCCCCACTCTCCGGCAGGCTGCACTAAGCTGATTTCTATGCATCTCCTTGATTATATCTGCTTAAATCCAGATATCAGTGCTTATCTAAAGTCTTATGTTGTAGACTGAGAAGGTCAGAAAGGCCCGGTGGAGCAGCCGTTAGCCCTGGGCAGTACTAGCCTCCTATTGATTCTCCATTGTGTTTCAGGTCTGCTGCAGTAATCTAATATTACCCTGGGACTCAAGCTGTGCGGCCATAACCTATTAGCTATTTACTTATATTTAGTTAGGGCTGGGTTTTTCCTGCTGCTTGGACATCTTTAAACAGACGAAATGGGCATCATAGCAGACAGTCTGCAGAGCTTGCCAAAATTGTCTTGGCTGAAAAAGCTGTTAGATTTGCACAGGGGCGGCTTCATTGTGCTGTTGGTGATTCCTCCAAAGGAAGAAGAGGGAAATCTTACGTGGGAGCTGTGTTTGATCTAGAGTGTTTGTTTGAAGGGAGGTCACGTTTCTGAAGGGCACTGTTGAGAAGAAAGTCTACTGTAAGTTAAGTAAGTTCTTATAAAGAACTTGATCATTATTATGAGCAGCTGTTAAAACCTCTCTTTTAATGCATTTGTTTATAATGTGAATGAGTTTGAAATGTTTGAAATTCTGTTAAACCTCTGGTGTGGGAGGAGAGAAAGATGGACAATGTTGCATGTGAGAAGATGTTGGGGAGGGTAAATCTAAAGTGGTGACTGAGCAATGTCAGTTTGTTTGTATCAACTTTGTCAATTGTCTGTCTAAATGTTTCTCTGCTAATGTTATGACTAATTATTTTTGTTATTTTTTGTAGTAGTAGTAGTTTATTTATTTAATGAGACAGGGATAGGGCACAGTATACATTAACCTTAACAGGAAATTGTAGCACCAGTGCTAATTTCCACCTGTAGTCCCTGGGCAGATTGTATTGAATTAACCTTAGCTATTAACTAATGTGGAAAACGAGAAATATACACTACCAGTCAAGAGTTTGGACACGCCTTCACATCCAGTGTTTTTTTCTTTATGTGTACTACTTTCTACATTTTAGACAAAGGAGACATCAAATGTATGCTGCAAGTCAAGATATATGGAACTAGAAAAGCACTCAGAGAGCGCAGACCTCTGCCAAGGACTACCCCCATTTTTTATATAAATTGAAAAAAAATCAGTCTTCTGGATCAGATCCGGATCAGCCTTTGGAATATGAAAGAGAATCCCATTGTCCATCCCTGAGTCAAATTTCATGGGGTTTGGTCAATAATTAACCGAGATACTGAGAAACAAAATTTTTGGCCCCATTTACCACAATGTTAACTAAAATTTCAAAGTGATCCAGAATCCAGGATTTCTTCCGGATCACCCCCAAAATGAAATCAGTTCTTCCTTTTCACATTTCCAACAAATCCTGAAAATTTCATCAAAATCGGTAAATAACATTTTGAGTTATGTTGCTAACAGACAAACAAACAAACAAACAGACAAACGCCGGCAAAAACATAACCTCCTTGGCGGAGGTAATTATGTAGTAAAGAAAAAAATAAATAACAATAAATAATAAAATATATATTTTTTGTATTTTATATTAAAATCCTCACAGTAGTCACCCTTTGCTTTGTTGACAGTGCTGCATTGGCCTTCTCTCAATGAGCTTCAGGATAAAGTCTTCTGAAATGGTTTTTACTTCACAGCTGAGCCTCGTCAGGGTCAAGAAATGTCACAAGTGCAAACTAGTGTTCAAAGCAAAGTGTTTTAAATATCAAATATCTCTAAAAGGTATTTAGCTTTTTGTCTTTGCTACATTCCATATCTGTCCATTCTTTTGATGCCTTCAGTGAGAATTTACAAAACTAAAGTTTTGACAAGTTTGGGCACACACAATAAAGGGATGAATCAGCACACCATTTACTGCTCACTGCTCTGTTTGAATGGATTAAAAAAATAATAATAATAATAGAAAAACCAAAAGGATCTTTTTGATATTATTCAGTTACCCTTTCTGTAGCCTCATTCATATACATTTTGCACAATATAATGATCAATTATACAAAGTGACATTCTGCTACAAATCAAATATTCAGACAGTATTTTAGTCAGATTTGCCACTAGGTCAACATGTCCATTCATCCATCTGACCCCTTTTTGTTGACTAAACGGTTACCCACAATCCTGCTGTTGTGTAGTGCAGGTGTAGGCCTCACATGGACTGTTCTGGAAACTGTGTGTTGGTGCTGCTTAGCTTTAGGGCCAGGTGAGAGGGGTCTAAACAGAGCATTCATACTTTCATACATGGGCCACAGCCTGTAAGCTCTGTTATTTGCCTAGAGCAGAGTTACTACAACACTCACTAGCTGTAGTGACACCTCCCACCCCTCCAAGACAATATATTTAGTTTTGAAATTTTGCATATCTTTGATTTTGTATACAATATATAATTTACTTCTTGGTCTACCTTGTGTATTATGCCTGTCCCAAACTTGGATATGGGTACATCAGAGAGGGCATTTGTAGATTTAATATAAGAAATGAATATGCAAATATAGGGTGTATGCCCAAATGGGAAAAGACAAAAGTAAAGAGAAATATAATTTATAGTGACAAACAAAACAACTCACTGATAAGCACCTACTTCAGAGATAAGAGTTTGTGTCAAATTGATGATTTGGAAAACTTTGAAAAGATTAACACAGTATGTCTGCTATAGGGTGCCAGTGGACAGTAGAGGTGACCGCTGGGACATAGTGCTATTTATGCTGACTGTGCAGTTTGTCCTGTGTAATACTCAGAAGGGGCAGGTGAATTTATATGCAGGTGGTGATGTGACTGCAGACTTTGTCCAAACTTTGGTGGAGTTTCTGTAAATCTCACAATTTCACTGCAATGCTACTATTCCTCAAAGCACACAAAGTAACTTTAAAGTGCCACTGTGGATTGCAGGTTGTTTGTTACGCCCTATCAATCCACATTTTTCATTGCCCCGAGGGTCCCTCATTCACTAATATGTGATGTTTTATGCTTCATCTGCAAACAACCTGGAGATAGAGATGTGAAAAGTAAAGATGTGACACAATATACAAAGAACAGAGAAAGAGAATACATGCAATACAGAAAATGTGTTGGCAATTATTAGTAATCGTGGGCACAAATCTGAAGCATCATTCAAAAAAAGCTCAAATTGTACATTGTAAAAATACCCTAATGATCATTTTAAACATGTTTTCCAGTGTTCAACATCCAGTCCAGAGGTACAAACAATGGCCCAAACTCATTTTCAAGGGATTTTGCCATGATTCGCCAGGTGTTTCTCTAAGCAAGGCAAGTACGAGTTATAAATTGAGCTATATTCATATTTCAGTACGGAGTCATTACTAAAAGCACAGTAACATTTGCTATGCTCTTCAGATGTCAACCACAACTGAAAATGGGATGGGAGGGGGCACAGCCAGAGAGAAAACATACAAAAAGGTAAGCTCCACTTGTAACTTTAGTTTAACTTTGTTTATTTACTACCCTCTATTTCAAATTCTTCAGTGAATTCTAAGTTTCATACACCAATGCGTTTTTAAATCATGCAATCTTTCTAAATGTCCTTTTGCAGCACAAAATGTCCTGAACCCTTTCATGGAGAACTGCCATGAATCACTTGAGTCCTGCTTAGTCCTGTTTACTTTTTACTTAAGATAGCTTCACTTATTTACTTCATTGGATGTAAACCATTTCCCTCTACTAGTGGTGGGGGTAGTGAGTCAAAGGTCAAAGTTTTGATCCTAAAGAAAAACATAATTACTCTGATATGCCATTTTTGCAGTTTTGAGTTAATGAGTTGCTTTTGAATTAAATGTAATTCTGTTACACTTTTTTTCCATCCATTATAATGTGTTTTGTACATAATACTTGAAAGAGAAATCCACAAGATATGAAACACATCTATATTTTCAATCTGCCACAAATAACCTGCCTCATTTCAATTATCCATGAGTTTCAGAGTGATTAAAAAATGGGCAGTTGCCATAGCAATTATATATTCTATAACCAGGAAGCTGAAACCCATGATATTTCTTGTTATTTCAGTATGCTTCCTGCTATATAATTTGTCTTATACCCAGTCGAGATGCATGTTTTGGTGTCTGATTTGGGAGAAAAGCAACAACAAGCAAACCACTATATGTCAATTATACAGCACTAAAACATGCTGTTTTCTTTATTTCCTAGACCACGTCATCAGCCTTGAAGGGGGCCATTCAGTTGGGCATTGGCTACACAGTGGGGAACCTGACCTCGAAACCTGACAGAGATGTCCTTATGCAAGATTTCTATGTGGTGGAGAGTGTTTTTCTGCCGAGGTGGGTGCTTCGACATACGTCAGAACATAAAGGGCCAGTCGAGGTGTAGTGCACCTTATAATCACTGTTGAACCAAGGTCTCCTTTCTCAGGGTGTTTTCACACCGACAGTATTTGGTGCGCACCAAACGGTCCATTCGAAGCAAAAGTTGTTAGTTCGGTTCGTTTGCGTTGGTGTGAAAGCGTCAATCGGACTCAGACCCGAACCAAATCAAGCGGACCGAGACTGCAAAAAAGAGGTGATCTCGGTTCGCTTGAATCCGCACCAAATGACCAACTTTGGTGCAGTTCCTCTGGTGTGAACGCGAACCCGGGTTCAAACCATAGACAGTAGGTCCAAACGGACTATTCGAAATGCATCATGGGAGGAAACGCGTTTCCTCTGCCTGAAGTAACGTGCTGTACGACTCCAGCGCAGTAACAGATTGTTGTCCAGACGCAGCCGCGATTCATTTTCAAATTATTTTACCAACAATGGCCAATACAGAGAATGTAACACAAGAAGATCAGAGCAAGTACCAGTGTGCGATCGTGTGGCTCCAGAGTGAGTCAAAAAGAGAAGCCCCGGTGTTCCCCATGTTCACGTAGCAACCAGCATTTGTTATTTTAGGCTTTAATTAACCAAATAATTTCATGGCAATAGGCAATAGCCTATTCAATTGATACAACTTTAGAAAGTCCCTGTTTTTAGCCTAGTGTGAGAAATACAGTCGGACTAGATCCAAGCCAGAGTCCCGAACCAGCGGGAGCAGCTCCTGTTTAGGCCGGGCTCAGAGAAGCTGGAGCGGGGAGCCTCGACCTGAGGAAGCGCTTTCTCCGGGAAGAACCAAATGCACCAAGGACTGACCGTCAGAACAACATATAACAAACCAAACTGGACTCACGCTTCTGTCTGGATGCTGCACCACCTCGGAACCAGACGCGATTCTTGAGCGCGGAGGACCAGAGTAGCCCGCACAGACCTGTAGGTAGTCCACAGCGCATTCTCACTTTCCCCGCACAGAACCAGCGCGAAGACGACGGAGCGTTCCCACTTAGACCCAGTCCACTGCGCACTGGTTTTGCTCGCCACCGTTTGGAACCAGCACATGAAGGACAGAGCCTCCGGACTTACGCTTGTAGGACGACAGAAGACCAAGGACCAGACCCCAGCGCCGTCCTGAGGAGCTGCACGCTACTGTGAGTGCTGTTGGCTGCTGCTGTTACCCGAACTCAGGACTGATGTGTGGTGAGTTTGAACAAAGTTCTACATATTGCTGTTTTATGAGTTCATGATGATAATTTGAGATGAGGACGGCCCGTGGTTTTAACAGGAACATCGGTGTTGATAACTGGAGGTATCGCCGTTTTCCTGAGAAACAGAGACACGTCAACCGAACCAATTTTGGTTTGTTTGCCGGTGTGAACGCGGACCACACTGGAGTGTATTTGCTACATAATAACAATTTTATTGCCTGGTGCGGACCAAATAATCGAACTAGCGGTGTGAAAACGACCTCAGAAACAGGGCTGAAGTAACTAACAAATCAAGGTTTTAATTAAACTATGCTTATGCAGGAACTGAGTGCATGAATAAGTAGGCTATTTAGTATGCTTCTGTACTGTTTTCTGATCATGTATGCTTTTACAAAACTTCATATTTTTTGTTCTGCTGTAATTGATATTCACTTACTTATCGAGGAGGAGAAGATTATGAATTTCTCTGCTTATCTTTTATCTGAAAATACAGTGTATCTGCCTCGTTAACAAATTGAATGTAGAAAATCTAAGTTTTACATAAAAAAGCTGTAGAGGATTACCCTACCACCAGGAACTTCAAAATGAGATTAAGATGGGCCTCCTACAGTTGTGGCAGTGTGTGTCAGATTCATCTTTGGAGCTGTCTGCAAAATTACATCAGCGGCTTAAAGAAAGTCTTTATATAATCCACCACAGGCAAGGAATTCTTTGAGAGACGAACATTCACACATTTATGACAGTAGTGACTTGACAGGCGTTGGATTTAAAACAGCACTGAATGAAAAAAGGAAAAGGAAGTGTATCCCCATGTCAGCTCCACCTCAGTATGCAAACTCCATATGGCTTATGCAAACCTGTGCTTGGCATGCAATGGCACTTTTTACTGCCCAGTTCCCTAGCAACAACTAAATAAAGAGTATTGTTTGGTCAATAAACGGTGAGCCAAAAACCTTCACCTGTATTTGAACAATTTATGCATGATACATTTAATTTATTCTGTTTGGAGAACCTGTATATAATTGAGCAAGTTCTGTTCCATTTTAACTTAAGATTTAAAAAAAACACAGTGAAATAATCAAGTGTAGTTACATAAACTACTCAAATATGACATTGCAGATTTTCTGAAGAAATGAAAAAAAAGTTAGCATTTGACACTATTTTCCTTCTCATCTTGCTTCTCAGTTATTGATTTTAGAACAGTTAAAAAATTGCTTTTTTTTTTTTTAAATTGTCTCCTCAGAGAGTGCTGCAATGATACAGATGGCTTTACAGTTTAATGTCTGACATTCCCTTCTTCTCTGCTCTCTCTCCGGGGCTTTGCCTGGTTGTTTGTCCTGTCAGTACACTTTTAGATGACGGGATTTGTCGCAGATCACTTGTGTATCTTTGACAACAAACGCGCGGCCAGTTGGTTTCCTGATTAGATTGAATGGCACCAGCCCTACTGTTGTGTGTTGGGAAATGGTTACCAAGAGATTGTGGTGCCAGCATGAGCAATCTGCTACTGATAGAGGCTAACTGTATCTCAGTGTTTTGGCTTTTGCTTATGTTAAACAGAGCAACCAACATTTCTCTGTATTGTAATTGCAGGTTTATTGTTACAGTGTAAGGCAAGACATCTCTTGTGTTAGAAAATAAGATGCCCTCAAAACAACATGTAACCTCACTACCCAGAAATTTTGCTAGAGATTTAGAGCAACTCTCAAAACAAAACCTTGATTAGCCCAATTTCACGCAAATAAGGTCAAAACTGGTAACTGATAACATAATCATCTATTCAAACTGGTTTCAACATTCGACACTGCATGACAGTTAATGTGTTATTTTTGCTCTTGTCTTTCTGGCCCTTGGCTTTTTGGTGGGTTTTGATTTAGTCCAGACCATGTAATCAGATCCATCTTTAGTCTCCAGGCGAAGAACTCAATACAGGGCAGTTTGACACTACAATAGACAAGTATAGGTTCCCATAGATGCCTTTAGAGTATAATGCTCACACCAGGGTGTAGTGAGTCACCAATACACAGAGGTACAATTCTTTCAGGAATAGATTTAGCCTATGTGTCATGTTTATGCCATGTACTGCAGAAAAGTATGTTTATCTGATCATTCTACTAATGTATTGCTTATGATTATAAACTGCTCAGATGTTTTACGATTAAACTAACCATTAAACCAGAATAATCAATATAATGTACCTCTTTTGGCAGTGAGGGAAGCAACCTGACCCCAGCCCACCATTACCCTGATTTCCGCTTCAAGACATACGCTCCTCTGGCCTTTCGCTACTTCAGAGATCTGTTTGGAATTAAACCAGATGACTACCTGGTAAGGTACACATTATACAATCCACCCTCTCTAAACAAATTGTCACTAAATAAAGAACAGTCACAAAACTTTAGGGGGCACGAGTGCTACTTGGATGTACAGAAATTGTGCAAAATTGTCCTTTTGGTGCTCTTCGGTGTAGGGACCAGTCTCAAATACACAGCTGAAAAAACTGAGGCACTCAAAAAGGACAAAATAATTAAACGCCTTTAATACCACATGGCAGATAAAGTTAAAATCAAACCTGTTTGTCCTGATGAAGGCCGAAGAGCCGAAATGCGTTGGCAAGATAACTTTATCTGCCATGTCATATTAAAGGCTTTTAATTATTTTGTACTTTTTGAGTGCCACAGTTTTTTCAACTTTGTAAAGAACAGTCACAATTTGAAACAGTCGAAGGCCTGTGTGTAGCTTTCCTTCATTCTGGGGAAACAAGTGCCCTCGCTCCCACTGACACCCCTGTCAAAAGCCCTGTCGGAGCTAGGGTAGTTTCCTCTGCCACACTCAACATACGTCTATAGCTCAGTTGGTAGGTAGAGTCCACTGATCTGATAATTTGGCAGGTCGAATCCTGCTCTCGACATAAACTTCTCTGGTTGAGCAGTCAGTTGAGCAGTCACTGACCCACAGGTTAGCGGTGCAATTCCAGTTCCCAGAATACTCCTTGAGCAATACATTTAGCCTTCTTTGTCCCCAGTGTCTGCATACACTGGTGTATGAGGGTTGTTGTGTCCTTGAGCAAAACACCTACCCCCCTTGCTCCCAAGTGTCTGTGTACATTGGTGTGTGAGGGTATATTTGAATAGGTGAGTGATTCCTTGATATAAAGCGCTTTGAGTGCCTTCAAGGTGAAAAAGCTCTTTATAAAAATTTGACTATTTACCATGATTTGAAAAATTAATAGACTGGACTGAAGTTGAAATATAGAAAGTCATGCATTGAAAGTATATAGCTTACTTTTTTGCTTTTTTGCCTTGAGTGAAATGATCTTATGTGTGGGTTCCAGCAGTGGTTTGTACACACAGAAGGTCTTATTGTTTAGTTATACAACGTTTTCCTGCTTCATCACACTGACAGTTCATAATATTAAACAAACTATCCCCAGAGTCTGTTTAATATTACTATGCATGTTCACAGCATGCCCCTATCAAGTCATGATAGATGCATTGTACAAACTAAAATAATGGAGTTGCTCTTGTTATCCATAGAACCTGTGTTATATAAGGATTATCTTGTTTTCTTTACAATAAATCACATTGCCTACAGGTTTTGAAATGTTGGACTCACCATATAGAACAAAACAAAGATGAAAGAAGCAAAGGGACCATTACCGGACCCTGGAGATGGGTTAATTTGGACAGACACAAACCTCTGGTCTTAATTAAAGAGACAAGCACAAAGCATAGCCAGCTTACGCACAAGGCTAATGCAATGAAGTGCTGACGTGTTTGTGTGCACGACTCAAGGTGACTGCAAATATTGATTGAAGAAGGCAAGGGCATATCCACTTTTTGCTTCCTGTTGTAATTATTGAATAACCCAACTCATCTAGTCAAGTTATGAAAGGTTCTGAATTAGATCAATTTGTGTTTTGTTTATTTACAATTTGTAGTTAAAAAACAATTTATTTGCACACTTTTTTACATAATTAAAATAATAGAAAATTTTGATTTGGGATACTGTTACAAGGTCTACACGGTGACTACTATATATATATATATATATATATATATATATATATATATATATATTATATATATATATATATATATGTATGTATGTGTATATATATCTATATATATATATATAGTTATATATATATATAGATAGATAGATAGATAGATAGATAGATATAGATATATAGATATATATAAATGTAGTTTGTGTCCTTGTTTAGACCTGACTTTAACTTAGTTCTGTCTTGATTTAAGAAGGTACAATATATAATCTGCTTTTGTGCCCTCAAATGAAGTACAGAGCAATGTATGGGGGGTGTTGCTGAAAATGTTCGAGTGAAAACGTAAATTACTTACATGACATTACACATTACATATATGAATTGCTCTAAATACAGTTTTAAGTGGTTAATGAAAAGGGAAAACCATTTTAATATTAAGAG